GACTAAGAGAGACACAGAAGGTTACTACATCCTTGCAAAGAAAACAATCCAGAAGAAAGAGATAACAATAAATATATATGCACCAAATACCTGTGTTCCTGACTATATAAAACAAATTTTAAAAGGCATGAAAAATCAAATAAGGACTAATAAAATTGTAATGGGGCATCTCCATTGTCACAAATAAATGTGTACTAAAAATCAATGATGAAATATCAGCACTGAACCAAACTTTAGAGCAAATTGATTTAGTAAGTGTCTATAAGAGTGTTCCATACTCCACTACAACAAAATACACATTCTTCTCAGAAGCCCATGGGACATTCTCCAAAATAGACCACATGCTGGCTCATAGAACGTACTTAAGGAAACACAAAGGAATTGAAATTATCTTGTGCATATTATCAGATCACAGTGCAATAAAATTGGAAATCAGTGGCAAAACAAACCACAAGAACTTCAAAAGCACAAGGAAATTAAATTATACTCTCCTCAACAATGACTGGGTCACAGATGAAGGTAAAGAAGAAATTAGACAGTTTCTATAATTAAACAGTAATTCCAGTACAACATACCAAAACTCATAGGACACAAAGAAAGTAGTCCTATGAGAGGTATTTTTAACAGTGAATTCCCATATCAGAAAAACAGAGTGAGTTCAAATAAGCACACTAATGTTGAACCTTAGTCTTCTATAAAAAGCAGAGTGAAGCAAGTTGAAAGCTCTTATGAGGTAGGAGGATTAAAGCAGAAATGAATGCAGTGGGAACAAAGAAAACAATCCAAAGCATTGATAAATCAGAGTTAATTATTTGAAAGTAAATAAAATTGACAAACCCTTAACCAACCTTATCCAAAAAAAGAAAAAAAAAAAGGAAAGAAAAGATTCAATTGTATACAATTAGGAATGAAAAAGGTAAAATCACAGCAGATCCTGCAGAAATCCAGAAGATTTTCAATGCTATTTTCAGAATCTGTAGTCTAATGAAATGAAAAAAATGCAGAAGAAATGGTCAGATTCCTAGATACATATAAAGTACCAAATCTGAATCAAGAAAATAAAAATTCTAAATAAACCAGTATCAGTCAATGAAATTGAAGTTACAGTTAAAAACCTACCACCTAAGAAAAGTCCAGGCTCTTCAATAAGCACAGTATACCATATTAACAGAGCCAAGAACAAAAGCAATATGATCATCTAAATAGATATAGAAAAAATATTTGAGAAAGTCCAACACACATCCATGATAAGAACCCTACCTAAAATTGGAATAGATCGTCTTTATCTCAACCTGGTAAGATCAATCTATGACAAACCAATAGCCAACACCATACTAAATGAACAGAAACTAAAAGCTTTCATTCTAAAATTAGGAACAAGGCAAGGATGGTCACTGTCACAGCTCGTCTTCAATATTGTTCTGGAAAAATTAACCAAAGCAATTAAACAAAAGAAAGAATAAAAGAATTAAGGATAGGAAAAGAAAAGTTAAATTATAATTATTTGCAGATGATATAATACTTTACATAGAAGACCTCAAATACTTTGCCAAAAAACTTCTAGATCTAATAACCAAATTCAGTAGTGTAGCTAGATAAAAAGTCAACACTCCAAAAATAATATCATTTTTGTATACAAATAATAAACTCAGGGAGAAATTAAGAAAATACCTTTCATAATAGTACCCCCCAAAGTGAAATACTTACGAATCAATCTAATGACGTGAAAGACCTTTACTATGAAAATGACAGTACTTTACAGAAGGAGATTGAAGAAAATATCAGAAAATGAAAATATATCTCTTGTCTTGAATAGTAAGAAGCCATACAGTGACACTAGCCATACTTCTAAAATTTCTATTCAGATTTAATGCAATCCCAAATGAAATACCAAGAGCATAACTTATAGAATTAGAAAAACAATTATAAAATTCATTTAGAATCAGAAGAAATATAGAATAGCAGAAGCAATTCTGAACAAGAAAGACAAGACCAGAGACATTACAATGCCTGACTTGAAAGTCCACTACATAGCTACTGTGATGTAAAGAGAATTATATGGGCAATAAAACAGACCTGAGAATCAATGGGGCAGATTAGAAGCAGCATAAACAATTCCAGATATACTCAACCACAATGTCTTTCAGAAAGGTGCCAAACACCTTCATCTGAAGAAAGATGGCCTCTTTAATGAATAGTACTGCAAAAACTGGCTTTCCACATGCCAAACATTAAAACTAGACCTATATCTTTCACAATTCACTAACCTAAAAAGAAAGTTGATCAAAGATCTAAGTATTAAAACAGAGATACTCTAAATCGGTTGGAAGACAGAATAGATAAAATTCTTGAAGACATTGGTGTATAAAGACTTGATGCTGATTGCATAGAAAATATTACAAAAAATCAACAACTGGGATCTCATCAAGCTAAAAAGCTTTGGCACAGCAAAAGAAGCCACCAGTAGAATGAAGAGATAACCCACAGAGTGAAAAAATTTTTCTAACTGTTCCTTACATCACTAATATCTAGAATATATAAAGAACTAAAAAAAAAAAATCCAGACCCTCCAAATTTAAAGAACCAATCCAAAAACTCACATTTAAAATTTATAGATACTTCTCACATGAAGAAATATAAATGGCAAATAAATATATGAAAAAACGTTCAATCTGATTAATCATTGGAGAGATGCAAATTAAAATAATGTTGAGATTCCATCTCACTCCATAAAGAATGCCTATCAACTAGAAAACAACCAATAAATAGGGGCAGGGCTGTGGGGGAAAAGGATCTCTTCTCCACCACTGCTGGGAGTATATTTGCTGCACTGTGGAAACCCATGTGGAGCTTCGTAAAAAATCTAGGACTAGATATCCCATAAACCCAGCTGTTCCCCTCCCTGGTATTGTCCCAAAAGAATTAAAAGCATCACACGACAATGTTTTATGAGTAGCCATGTTTATAAGGCACAGTTTGTTAAAGCTAAATCTTGGAAACAGCCTAAATGCCCATCAGCCAATGAATGGATAATGAAGATGTGATTGTTTTGGACAATGGATTACTATCCTGCTATAAAGAAGGATAAACTTAAGACATTTCTAGCCAAACAGAAATACCTTTAGGACATATTCTTAAATGAAATAAATTGGGCACACATGTAAAAGCTGTTGTTTCTCTGATGTGAGAAAGTGCAAATAAGGACCAAAATATATAATAGATACTGGGAAATAAGAACAAATTTTTCAGAAGAAAAGGGGAACAAGGGTGGGGAGATAAGAAAAGAAAGGATACAATAAAAAATGGAAACAAACTTTTTAAGTAACTAGAGGAAGAGAGGTTAAAGGTAGAGAATGAGAACAAAAGAAGTATGATTTGTTATGTACAAATTTCCTGTGATGAATGTTGTCATTATGTGTATGAAAACTGTACCAATAAAATAAAAGAATTCAAGCAAAATAAAAATGATACTATTTTAAAATAAATAGAAATTTGATTATCTTTTTCAAATAGATATTTGGTACTTAGTCATTTCAAATAAAGATAAGAACAATTACATTGTACCCATAGGTCTATAACAGATAAAATATTACAATGTCTATGTAATTTATTTATTCATAATATATTAAGCTTGTAGTTTACATGTTTCACTTGTGTTGTATGTTTATTTTCCATAATAATTGACCTGTTAAATCAGGCTTGTATTGAAAGCCCCATTTATATTTATTCAAACGGAAGCAGAAGAGTCTTGCAAACACATAGCCAGAGTAGAATAGAGCTCAGACTCCAAGACAATGGAGTAACTCACTGTTTCTAAAATCCAAGAGCACTGAGTGCTGATCAATGATGCTGGGATGAAAGTTCTCATGACATGTTGCCAGTGCTAATATTGTTTAGAGAACTAGGAATCTACACATGTCTCTGAAGTGACATCTTCCCTGGGAGACCCACTTTGATTAAACTGATTAAGATTCTCATTTGCAAGCTTTTGTGATTATTATGATAGTAAATTAACCACTTTGTAAGAAGTTATTTTAAATTGCATCCTCCACTGCAGTGTAAATTTCCTAAGGCCAATTTTCTTTCCTGCTCCAATAGCACTCTCCCTGTGCAAAGGCCCTGGGAGCAGTCTCTTTTGTGTTTTCCTTACATGCCAGGCCGAGGCTCAGCAGGGCCTTCGCAGACTCTCCTGAGTTTGGGATGCTCTCCCAGGCACCCGTGGTGTGAGGTCTTTATGTACTATGTACTTATGTACGATGTCAACTCTTTACAGTTAATTTTCTTTACATTTGCAGCTAAATAACTTTGTACACTGCTTTACTTCACTTGTGAAATATAGCATTATTTAACTCTATGCTGCTCCTGTGACTGTGATATATTAAATTTTCTCAGAGCATTTAATTTGTGTTTTTTACCATCTTTACGCCAACTCTGCAGCAATGCCCATCACATACTAGATATAAATTAAGCATTTGTTGAATGAATGTTGTGTAGAATTTTAGGCTTGCTGTGCTCTTTTAGTAAAAATAAAAATGATTATGTGACTATATTTAAATTGCATTTATAGCCCATCTAAAATAATCTTGAACATTCTGCTTTGAAAACACAAATTATTAATGGTTTAATTCTTTATACTCTTCTTCCTGGGAAATATATAATAAATTTCACATAGATGTATTTTCTTGATTCTGTTTTCATAGTGGATACCATGGCACATATATGTATATATGTATATTATAGGTGCTTATAATATTGGATTTAATAAATTAATGTCTGTCCACATAAATAGTATATACTAAGAGTGTGTACATTTTTTATTTATAGAAATATATATATATTTATACATTATTATATTACATATATACAATATATAATATAATATATAATATATAATACAATATGTTATATATATATATATATATATTTCTTATTAATACTAAGTGTTTGTCCTACAAGCCTGCTATTGCATCAAGTAACTATGTTTCTTCTCACATTCACAGGATTATACCTTGACAATGTACTTCCAACAAGCCTGGAGAGATAAGAGGCTATCCTATAATGTAATACCTTTAAACTTGACTTTGGACAACAGAGTGGCAGACCAGCTCTGGGTGCCCGATACCTACTTCCTGAATGATAAGAAGTCATTTGTGCATGGAGTGACTGTCAAAAACCGCATGATCCGCCTGCACCCAGATGGCACAGTGCTTTATGGCCTCAGGTCAGTAGTCCTCAATTTAAAATTTAACTTTTTCTGAACAAAACAGTTGTTGCTTCTTATTGGAAGGGAATATTTTGTTCTTCTCCTTATTCCTCCTGCAGTTTTGCTGATAAACAGTTAAGCCTCCTATGCTGCAGAAATCCTGGAGCTTAGGGTAGCCTGTTTACAGAGGGACTTAACCTCAGCTAAGATTCAGTTTTTTCCAAATTATCTTCCAGTATCAGCTGCTGACCCTGAAAGCTGCTTTCTTCAAGGAATACAGATAAACAACATGAAAATAGCTGAGAAACGTGGTTTCTTTAAAATGGAAAAAAATATTTACAAATGGCAGATGATTGTTTGAAAACGGCAGATGCTGTTTATAAATTGCTCCTCAGCGGCCTGAAGTGGGTCACAGTACTCTGATGACAGGAAAGCTTATCGTGCTCTCCCACCGTCCCAGGAGCAGTCTGACTTGCAGATAAAGTAGTCACCTCATATTTATTAACACAGAATTTAAATCTTAAATGTATATCCACATCAATAAAATCTGTGATGCACTGATATTTCTGATGATGGTAATTTTTAAAATACGGTCATTTTTTCCTAATTTTTACCAAAAGCAATAGATAGTATCTAGGAAAAACAGATACATATTTTATTCTGAAAATAGTTCAGCATAGAGAACATCTGCATACAGAAGAAGCAGTTTTGACAATTTCAGTTGTCTCTGATATATTCTATTTTACAAAAATACAGGTTTGCCTTACGATAATAATGACAATGACAATAGCATTATTCATTGATGAACACTTGCTAGGCGTTAGACACTGAGATAAATTCTTTGAATGTGTTAGTATGCAACCTGCCCAACACCCAACACCCACCCCCTGACCTTACTATCTACACTTTGATTTTCAGCTACCCAGGTTAACTCTGGTCTAAGTGTTACATGGAAAATTCTAGAAATAAACAATGGTTTTTCAGTTGTGCCCTATTCTGAGTTGCATGATCAAATTTTAGCTGCTCTCTTATTTTGTTTCACCTGTGTGATCCTGTGTGATCCTGTTCAGTGGATCATCCTGTTCAGTGTATCCATGTAGTTTACACTACTCAGATATTCGTCACTCAGTTAACCCCCTAGGGCTTTTGGGTAGGCCAATACTGTACACTGAGTTGAAACTTTGTACTCGATCTAAAGCAGTGCAGAATATTAAAAGAAAGGAGGCAACTAGATAAGAAAGAATTTAAGAAAGAATTTAATGTGGGCATGGAGGGAGTCACCACAAAGAAGGCTGTGGTGGCTCTCTGCAGACAAAGGATGGCTCCTGCCTTATATAGGCTCTGATGGGGGAAGGGCTTTGGGACTGATGTAAGGTAATTTATTTTGTGAGAGTGCCAGGGTTTGGGTAAACCTTTATACTTGTGAACTTTGGCAAAGACTTTTGGGAGGAAGGAGCCTTAGGGGCTTCTGGGAAGAAGGAGCTAAGAACCATGATGCAGTATTATGCTGCTGCCATGATGAGTGGGCAAATCTCGGGCAGCACCCTATCATTCCCACTTCTTCGGTGTTAAAGGGTGCCGTTGTCTCCCTGGCTACTTTCTGCTGAGCGGGGGTGACGTGGGACCTAGAGAAAGGGGGTGTGGGTCTGAGGGCCCATTTTATCCGAGTTTGTGAGGTAGTAATGTCACTCAGGAGAATTTCTTTTGTGATGAATGCCTGTATCCTGGCTTAGGTGAACTCTGAGAGTCTGAAGGCACAGGGAGCAAGAAGCAAAAGAATTATTACATTACACACTGCTTGCATTGATGTAATCTAATTGTTATTATGTTAATAATGGCCCAGGAATACAAAGTAGTAATGCTGGCAATTCAGATATGCCAGAGAAACTGCAGTGGGTTTACTTCAAGTGAAAAGGTAAATGTTTTTCATTTAGTAAAGGAAGAAAAAGCATTGTATGTTAAGGTTGCTAAGATCTATAGTAAGAATGAAACTTTTAACCATGAAATTATGAAGGACAGAGAAATCTATGCTAGTTTTACTGTCACATCTCAAACTGCAAAATTTGCATCGATAGTATGTAAAAAATGTTTTATTAACATAGAAAAGGCATTAAATTGGAGGTAGATTTGGTTCCTTCTTGAATTAAAGTCATCATAGGAGAGTTATATATAATACCCATGTTTATAGCACCCCAGTTCATTATAATTATAAGCCAGTTGGAAGTGGCTTATGGATCCATCCACAGATGAATAGGTAAAGGAGTAAAGAAAGTGTGGTAGTTGTACACAATCGTGTACTACTATACTATAAAAAGAATAAATTTGAGTCGTGTAGAAAATTGGATGCAGTTTGAAACCATAATGTTAAATAAAATAAGTCAAACATACAAACTTAAATATTATATAGTTTGTCTTGTTAGAGTGAACTCAAATATAAACAAGTAAAAGAGCAGCATATAAGGTTAATAAAGAAAGAGGTAATAGATGTTTTGCTAAAGAGGAGACCGAGAGGTAGAGGGGAAACAGAACAACATTTCAGTGACAAAGTCAGGTGTCATGTCCAGAATGAAGAATGCACTTGTTCTCAATAAAAAAGCTGTGTTCTAGAGGCATAATCAGAAAGCATGGGTAACAGTAATCTTGGTTATAGAATGGTTGCATTAATATTTCAATTCAGAATTGAAAAATATGTATGTATATATTTGGAAGAGTAAGGGTTGAAATGTAAAGATCTATAATAAAAAGAAGTATCTGGATATTCTGAATCTACTTAATATAAAAATCAGAATGTCCAGTTTGTATTTTGACCTCAAAATAAAATCTCATTGCTTCAGCCCTTTGGGTAGATCCTTACTCCATATTTCAAGGCCATACAAGGTCATGTGATATTTAATTGCATTTGATCAGCATCAGACCTTCAGCGGGACATAATGTGGTAATGGAAATAATTCACTATTCCTGATAAAATAACATTAATCAAAGACCCAGTTAATGAATTAACATAAGAAACTATACAGGCCTTTTGAAATAATTTAGGAAATGAAATCATAAATTATTTCAAAGGCCTCTGAAGGACTGATGGAGAAGTTAGGAAAATCATTCACAAGGCAAGGCAAATTAGTTGAGGAATCGTTTTCAACATGCTGGGTGAAGACATGGAATGACATTTTTTAGACTATAAAGAAATGTTAACGAATGAAGAATTAGAAAAACTTCAGTCATCTGCAGAGGAAAGGAAAGACAGAGACATCAACTTCTGTTATGATGTTTTTCTAAGAGTTTTTGACAAATAAAAACCTTTGAATGTCAAGGATCACAAAGCACTATCTCTGCCTGACTTCCATTCATTGCCATCGTGATGCCCTGATGATTGATCTAGAAAAATCTCAGCAGAGGGTCAATAATTGTGTAATGTGATGTCACAATGCCTATGCCACTCACCTCATTTCATCCCTTATGTAAACTTTCTGTCATCTGATATCATCATCAGAAAGATGAATGCAACATATCTTAAAAACGACTATGTTACCTTAATTGCAGCACCTTGTTGTAATTTTTTATTATCGTTGTCATTAATTTCTTAGTATGCCCTAATTTATTAATAAAGCTTTACCATAGATATGTTTTATATAAGAAAAATACAATCTCCTTAATATTTGGCATTATCCATGTACAGGAATGCAAGATGTTTCTTTTCACTGCCCCACATTGTTCTTCACACAGTGGAAAGTTGGTTATAGAAAATAGTAGGATATACCCAAGAGACCCTAGAAAGAAAGAAGGCTAAGTGGAAACAGATCTTATTGGATTCACAGATACAGACTTCATTCTTCAGTGATAAAATAAGACAGACGAGACTTCCACGGAAGATGCAGCCTTAAGTCCTGCAGTTCACATCACTTCCAGTTTACTGGCAGATGACTTTTCTTGTGCAGGTTCCTTGCACACAGGTTGAGTCATTGGAAATAACTCAGTAGTGACAAAGTTCACCAGTCTGAGTGATGAAAATTGAGAAGCAGTGATCCAGAGATAGTTGTGGAAGGCTAGGACAAGAAAAACTTTAAATATCAAGTCAGTGACCAAGAAACTTGGGTAGGGTGAGACCTTTGAAATCCATGTCTTGTGAATTCAAAGTAGACGCTAAGGCTCTCACCTCCTATCCCATTGTCCCACAGAGTCCTACGAAGTTTGAAGGGAAAGGAGGAGGTAGACACAGTCATTCACAGGATCTGAGTACACTTCTTTCAACAAGTCTTGTCAATGAAATTTTCAAGTATTAAGACACAATAAAGATAGAAAAAACCATGATGGTGAAATATTAATGCTTGGTGAATTTGATGATGAGTATGGGGTGGATCATTGTGCTGTTCTTTCAAATTGTCTGAATGTTTGAAAATGTTGTTATAAAATTTAGAAAAGAAAAAATGTTGTTTCATAAGCCTACAAACTTCTGGCTCTATTACCTAGGAAATATAACTCAAGATTTTAGATGTCAGTAGCCAGTGAATGATGCTGGAATGTCTCATATGTGGGGGGTTCTCTTTACATTACATCTCCTTTGAATGGGTGTGTCTGAGCAAGGAGAGATTGCATTGCAGGGGGTACGTTGCATACTGGGTGCTATCCATGACCAAAGCTACCAGGCTATGCCATAACCCAGAGAAGCATAGTCAACACCCTTTAGCTAATACCTTCCTAACTTCTTTGCAAAATTTTCCTTCTCCCAGAGCATAAGCATTGCTTATCATTGTACACAACCATGCTAGGTCTGCTTATGATGATATACTGCTTTTGGCTAGAGGAATTTTAAATGAAAAACACACTAATAGATCAGCATAAAATTTACATTAAAGGACAGTGACTTTGAAGAGTTCAGAGGAGCTCAGAGATTGAGATTTAAATACATAAAATATTTTAGGCCCTACCACTTACTGTCTAACAGTTTTCATCCTGATTAGATCTGTTTCTTATCTCCAAAAACTCAGGTTTGAACTTTCTCTTTTTCTTTTGTTCAACTT